ACCAAAACCAGTCTCAACAGTACCCATGTATTGACATCTTATCTGAAATTTTCTATTCTACCGACACGCTATTGATAAAAGATTCGAAATTGAGGACTTTAAGCGATGCAGTTTTAGCAGGTGGTCGATTTATTGTGCTGGGGAGTACCAAATTCGAGTTTGTCTGGCATTAACAACATTATACAACGTTGTTTGTCAGTTCTAGTCTTTATTTGGTTCTAGTAATCGAGATATTACCTACGCCAGACAGTTAATTGCATTAGTTGGTCTGTTGCAATTATTATTGGGCAAGAAGATTCTGAGACATTTCTTATGCGAGTTTTTCTGCATCACAAATCTCCTGGATTCCCCACCGAGAAAGTCACGTCTTTCAAATACATGTTTTAATCCTTACCAAGCGCTTGGATCTGGCCGGGTAAGTATCACAATGATTTATTCATGCTTCAAAGTATTACATATAAGATGATATGATGGTCTTGGAAAAAAGACCACGACAGTCACATTTTTAAAAATTTTGTTCATGTCATGCAACGCGTAGCGCAAAAAAAATAATTATTATACACCATTTTGAAACTCTAATTCAGCATGAAACGGATCCAAAATTTCAGAAAATAACCATAGAATTTTCACACATTTGTCTATATTCATTAGCGTATCTTTTATTTAGTGAAACAGATGTCTTTAGAAACGAGGAGTTAGGAACAATAATAATTTTCTAAATCGATCCCCTGTCTGCCTTCATGACAAAAATAAGACTATCATTATTATTTCAATTGATGGCTTGGCTATCAAAAATTGCTCTGAGAGGAAAAAAAAATGTCAGTTTTTAGAATCATAGGATAGGATGATCTCTCCAATTCATAGCGGATAATTAATCATAAAGCTTGACGATCTCTTGAACACAGATAATAGCAAAGAATATTATTTTGTGACTATATGGACTTGGAGCTTTCATTTACAGTTGATTGTTTATATATTCATTGCAGATTATTTATTTTTCATGAGTAGATATATGAGTTTTTCTAGCCAAAATACGTGTTAGCTGGAATCGAATATCCTTCATCAGAAACGGGAATTGGTTGTTAACACACGCGATAATATTTCCAAGTCTATATGTAATCGCCGGAGAGCAACGTTTTCTTTAAGCTATTTTAGATTTTAGTTGTCTCTTTTGGTGAAGTGATTCAAGCCTTCGAGTCGAGAGAAGAGACGGATTGTGGTCTGCAAGTAAAGAAGCTTGTTCTGCATCCTCGATGAATAATTCAGTACGGGTAAATTGAGTCAATTAAATTCTACGTTATTAAGAACTGTCGAGAAATTGAGATCAGTATCTAATAGCCAAGCTGGGCTGATATGTTATTATCAACACGTCATATATGATTTATCTCGAATATTCATTTTTGACGATAAGATTCCTTCACTGCACGGGGAATAAAGAAAACCGCTGAAAACAGCTGCCTTGCCCTCTAGAGGAACAAGTAGCTTACATTAGGCTCCGTTGCTGCGGTGGTAGCGCCCAATCCGTTCTTTGAGACACTTAAAGTTCGCGAAACTTAATATCTACCTCGAAAATGTGTTTACATTTTAAATCCCAGATCAAATTTGTAATTCTCCTCACTGTCAACCATACTATTCTGATAATGTTACTTCAGAGATTTAGTATTGGATCAATTAATTATCCCCAAAATGATAGTTTTCTTTATTCTCGTCACTTATCTGTTTGATATTGTATTGATATTGTAAGAAGAAATTCTGTCTTGGTCACTCATGGGAGTTAAAGGGTTAATTGCAGTTAACCTGCAATGATAAATTGGTCATGTATCATCCGCCGTCTCAAATGTGGTCAAGGTCATACGTGATTAATATTAAAATAGAAAGTTATTTTTTGTCAGTGGTGAGTAATCAGTTAGCGCGAATATGGTCATAAACAGGGCGTCACAGCTGTGAGGAGTGATATCACAAATTTACGCAGGGGGTCTGCATGCATCTGGCTAAATCAGTAGATCAGGGTGAGAGCAGAAGAATGTAAGCAGAATTTTAATTCAACGAAAGGTCAGTACAGCGTGATATCCTGTCACAAAAAAGGCAAATGTAAAATGAAAACAGCTCATGTAGATATTTGGGGTTTTTACCTCGTGGAAAATACCACTTAAGGTAACTTTGAATATACGTTTTGAAAAATGATATGCGTTGGGGAAATTTTATTTCTTAGTACAATTTTCGAATCTCGCTACATTTACATTCCGTTTAAAAATCCAATCGTTTGTTTGCGTTGCAGGGTTGTATTTGTAAAGAAGCGTTTTCTTTAAAAAAATGTTAAGCTGCCTCTCTCCATTGAACTTGGTCTCTGTGTTTCTGCTTAAAGCTTCTCGTCTAATTACTTAATTGTGGTGGTCGATTTAAAGGTTGGACTCTTTATAGAGTGACAAAGCATAGCATCTTATATTCATGTTTTTTAAAATCGTTTTTGACTGCGTCGATGAATTAATTTAATATTGAGTGAAGTCTTCATAATAAGATTCCGTAAAGTTTATGATCATCTTCTGCATGAATCCTATCTCAGAACTGAATAGTTGATAATCTGAGACATTCAAGAAACATGTACGTGTCGATGTTTTAGGACTGTTTCTGAAAGATAAAGAAGAAAATTAGAAATTAACTAATTCTAACAATTATTTTTGCTTGGCATTGGCTTAAATTTCTAAAAATTAAAAGTTAAATTACATACTCAAGGTATTTACAATAAACAGGAAACACCAGACAAACACCAATAGCTTTTCAGTCTTTTTATAGACCTGAAAACCAAATATATCGCGTTTATTAAATGATCTCATCCAAAAAAACGGCTCGTTGTCTCCACATCTTTCTTGAACATTCTCTGACAGTAAGTACCCTTGGGTGATTCTCTTCGAAGGAAACCACCATACGAAACCTCTCACCTTCTTCAGATGAAGTAATAAAATGGCTGACACACAGCACTTATCGAACAATGTAACTATATCGTCGTTTTCAGAAAGACTGAAGTATTTTCAATGTGTATCACAAAAGAGCAAAGTTAATGATATGTTTTGTCTGAAGAAATAAACCCTTTAAACAATGCAGACGCTTTATTTAAAGGCACAATTTGGTAACAAATAAATTGCTGTGCATCGGCGATTTACATAACAATACATTGTTAATATGTGATGCTTTGCATGAAAATAATTGACGTGCTTTCAAGTACTTTAATATTTCATTCGATAATAAGAGGCTAGTGGCCTCTTCTAACCATTTGTTGGTTAAGTACTTTCAAGTGTGTAATTCGCTTAACATCCCACGCACTTCAATACTTCTCTACTAGAAAAATCTAGGTGAGGTTGACAAATGTCGATCTAATATAAAATATGTCTAAAAACATCAAGGAGAGAAGATGTCGAACATCTGGAGTGGAAAACTGTGAGTAGTTTGTGTCCAAATCTGTTCGTCTAATACCACTACAGAGTAACTGCCTTGGTAAGAGTTGAGCAATCTTTGCTGTTATACGAATTTATCAAACTAACTTCGTTTAATTCCTCTTCAGCGCGCATGGGAAATGATCGATAGACAAATATATCCAGTTTCTGCTTTCTGTGCGTCTCTGTATAAAAAATCTACTTTATCGCAGTTGTTTACCGCCCAAAATCGTCGTAGTTTTTTTTTTCGTTGTTGATATGGTAGACTAGCAATCATGAGTCTCAGAATTGAAACTGTTGTCAAATACTTGCATAATATCTGATGTCAGTTTGATAGCATTCCAGACGTATTGATCGATTATATAGTTGCATGTAGACCGAATGCAGTAAAGTACAGACCGTAGAAAGTTTTGAAAAATATTAAACTGATGGATTTCTATTCCAAACGACGGGTGAAAATTTAATTTCAAATGTAAGACCAGCGGAACCTTTTACTAACTAAGTCGACCAACAGAGCGCTGATAACTTATGAGCTTCAATGGCATAATTAGGCAACTCGGCGGTAAAGCATTTCTACCGGAACACTTGGAGTCATATAGTTCCATATAGTTCCATATCTGACTTATAACTCGCTGTGTATGACAAATCAAGCTATTTTCCTGTTTGCATTTCACTGTTTATGCGACTGTTATCAGCTGTTGTGAGTCAAGTCAAAAGGACATAAAATTGTCTCATAAAATTAGATAAGGAACTTCAAGTGTTCAACAATTTTGCTTGAAATATTGAGCGCAATCTTCCTAACTAATGATCACAATCTTCCAAACTGATGATTATACTCTCATAACACAGTTCTTTGTTAGCTTTTCATGAACATTTAGTGATCTATCAAGAAATTGTCATCTAGATGATAATTTTCATCTTTCTGTTTGAGAGTTCTAAACTGTTGCAGATCAAATTTATAACTTTATCACTAAGAAGGAAAGGATATAAAACCTTAAAGTCAAGTCATGATCGGTCATGATCGCTTAAAAGAGCTACGCATTATAAATTTGATTGATATTGAATCAAACAAATGCTATTGGTCTTTCATCAAGCTTTCAGACATTTGCTACTTCCCTAACCCTCCTAAAGTGATCTCCGAAATACCGTGTACAAACTGGCAGTTGAATATATTGGAAGAGGGGTGAGCGGCGATAGAAGAGCGTGTGTGGTCTCCCAAAGATGCTAGTTCCAACTACTTACGTCCGATGACGGTATACATACGTTCCTACCTGAACTCAGGGTTACCATAAAAGCCATATAGCACCTACAAATCATTATACAAGCAGTTTTAGATGTCACGTTCACAACTCAGCTCTAAATCTGATGAGTGAAGAGTGCCATCCCTATGGCAAGAAAACCGACACGAAATTTCGTCATACAACTTTACACTCGAGTTAAGTTATCGCTTCTCGAGAAGAAAAAGCAAGTGCTTTTTTGTTTGTTTGTTTGTTTAAAAGATTCAGGTCAACATCTTCGTACGTCGGCTTATAGATTTTTGGTTCCACCAAACAAGAATTTGCGCATAATTTGCCAAGGAAAATGGAGCGTGGGCACCGCAAATCATCGCTGGGACGGCTAAACAATCGCTGTCGGAACACGCTTTATAGCCAAAGGCATTTAAGTCAGTTTGAAATTGATACTCACATCGAGAGTGTTTGCAGGTTATTACATTTTTAGAACAAAAGGTCAAGTTCTGCTATCATGTTTGTGGATCAAAGTTTCCTTTGTTGATCAAAAGCCTGCGTCCGATATTCTTGACACGACTTAGCAGGAAATATCATATTGGTGTCAGTTAATTTCCCAAGTTAGACAATTCAGTGGTGTGTTAAGCCATAGAGCTTCTTACTGAGTTGAATCACTGATCAGGGGAAGAGTATTTGGAGATTCACGGAAAATTAAGGTATAGTGTAGCAACGAAATCGTTTATAGAATCAATCAGGCTTAGGTGCTATGCAGTTGAAGTCAGTTAGAGGCCTTTGTGAAAGTGATTGTCCACGAATTCACTAAGATCATCCTTAAGAAATTTTCTTTACTGAAAAATGTTCGATGAAGTCGCAATGAGGACTGCCTGAACTAAGCAAATTTAAAACTTGTTTGCTTTTCATTTTGTGACCTTCAGAAAACATTGCATCTAAATCAATTTGTCCGGAAACAACTTTAAATATCTGCTGTTCTACAAATCACTGAACACTCAAAGGCTACTCCAGTTACCCGAGATCAACACCTTTCACGCAACGACACCTTACAACTAAAACGGATTATAACATTCCTCTATAATTTTACGACGAAAATTTACGCATGCAATCGAACATTTTTACACACGTTCTTTCGAAGCAAAGTATCGACGTCAGCATCGACAGATGGATTACTGGATTTTCAATTTTATGACACGAATCTATCTTTCTTTTCGAGAACTGCATTTTTAAGACTCTAGATTCAATCTCATATTTTTTTATCGCGTGCAATCCATCCAAGCTACCCGAATTATAATGAAGAAATGTAAAATGGTTTCCGTGTTTACATAGCCTGATGTAAACACGCGGGAGGTTGGGAGAACACGAGATAAGCGTAGGAAACCACGACGCGAAGCGGAGTGGTTTCCAGCTTATCGTGTAAACACGGAAATCATTTTACATTTCTTTTATAAAATAACTAATGAAAGAGGAACGAAAACCGTGTTTGCATACGCTCATGTAAAATGGTTTTATGGCCAATCAGAGCGCGCGTACTATTTGAATTATTTTATAATTTGAAACATTACAAAGGACCTTCGTAAATTTTGAACCAAAAGCAAGTTACACGAGCTGAAATTTAAATTTAAACTATGATATCGCAAATATTACTGCCCACGGAGTGACGCATATATGTACTTTTAGTCCTCCACTCCACTTTTCAGTCCTCGACTTGAGCTAGGTAAATTCCAAAGTTAAAGGGATTTGTTACCGAGGTGAGAACTAACATTGAAATTAGTCTAGATTCATTTTACACCTTAACTAAGTAGAGGTTAAGATTTCGGCTTCTTTGACTCAAATCCAATTTCCTGAATCTATATCAGTTTTAAGTATCAATTGAGGAATATTATTCTCTTACATTAATCGAGTGCATTGGTGCATCTTGAACGGTTCTAATGAGTTCATGAACCTCTTTAAATCCCTCTTTTCATTTCGTCAGCAGCATGCAGATGTCAAACAGCACAGTCATACCGCCTATTAACCTCATACAAGAAAATGGCTATACTGAGGTGCCAAGAACACCGCTGGTCGTAATTTTAGCGTTTCTGTCATTTAGCACTGTCCTCGGGAACTGCGTGATATGCTTTGCCATCTACAATCATCCTGCCTTGCGTCATGTGACCTACTTGTCAATTTTCAGCCTGGCGATCGCGGACTCTTTAGCAGGCCTGGTTGCCATGCCAAGTTACATCTTGAAAAAGTTTACATGGGATGAACCAACGCAGACAATTGTATGCGATATTTTTCGTTCTTCGTATTTCCTGACGGGTTACGCTTCCATTCTAAGTTTATCAGTCATCAGCGTGGAGCGCCTTATCGCAGTGAGAAATCCGCTGAACCACGTAACTATTGTCTCACGTCGTCGAGTAGTGCTGGCACTGGTCTTTGCATGGGTGGACGCCCTTCTGGTTTCGTCGCTTCCTTTCTTCCCATGGGAACCAAACAATCCGTATAGGGAATGCAGCTACAGTCCGACTCGCTGGTGGAGCATTATGGTCATCATATCCAATGTAATTACTCCATTTCTTGTCATTGTGATTTGCTACAGTCTCATGTATCTAACAGCCCAATCCCATGTCAAAAAAATGTCAAAGAACAGTAGGCAGCTATCCCACAACAGTAAAAATTCCGCCAAGAATCACAAAGAACGCCGAGCTAACATTACCATCATGATTGTGATTGGCGTCTTTGTGGTGTGCTGGTTTCCATCCTGTTTCTATTATTTCCTGCAGAAAACCTGTCCGCAATGCTTCTCTGAAGCATTCAAAGCCAAACAGAGTCTTGTCAATGCTTTAGTGAAGGTTCTGACTTTCACTTCGTCCTTTTTGAATCCCATAATTTATTGCTGGAGAAGTCGCGAGTTTAGAAGCGTATTTCTGAAAATTTGCCGCCGAAAGAAGCGCAGCTTTTCTAATTCATTTTCCAGTTATTTTAACATTCGCATTTCACGACGGAACAGTAATGATCAGACAAGGCCTCGACGTTCTACGGCAGAAGAAGTTGTTATTAACAAAGAAACTCTAGAATTACTAGTAAACAGTAAATCAAGTAGTGTGTAAAACGTTTTACTTAAAAAAAAGTTTTACCTGTTGATCACGGTCTGCGGTTGCCCCTAACATTTGTATCAAGCCAAAAACTTTAGAAGCTACTCATTAACAAACAGATGCCATGTTACTGTGCCTCTGTTTAGTAATAGATCACTGATGAGAAGTTAGAGGAGTTGTTAATACTTGAAGATAGATAGAGAATGTAATAGATGGTGCGCGTGGATATGGAATTTCTCTTCGAGTGTTTTACTCGATAGCTCACGAGAGAGCGCAGCGAACGAGTGAGATGTTGAGTTGAACACGAGAAGAGAAATTTCATATCTACAAGCAACCGTGTATTATTTTTTTCATCATATAAACACAATAGCCCTTTACTGACAAGAAAGGACCACCTTGTGAATGAATGAAAATAAAAGGATGGACAATCCCTGAATAACAACCGAACAGTGCGTTGGTGCTAAGGCTTAAATGAAAAAATGCGTTGAAACGCTACAAAAACAAACAATGGACATAATTTTCAATATCAAAAAATTCTCAGTTATTGACTTAATCCTTACCAAAGCCACTAGTATCTATGATAAAATTCTTTTCCACGCCGGCAGCCACGTAATATCCTCTGTACCAAAAAGATGAAAAAGAAATAGGATCCTTAAAAAGAATTTAATTAGTACATTAAAGCTGGACAAACGTTGACGAGGGGAACGAATGTAATTCCAGACTTGCCCTGTGGAATCATCCTCCTTAAAATTCAAGTTCTTGGCCGACTTCCTTACAAAACAGCAGTATATCGAGGCCAGCATGAAGGAAAATCCACCAAATTTAAAACAAGTGAAGGACCGATCTGGTGGTTAAATGAGTTTGCGAAGACAAATGTCGGAAGGAAATACCGCACTTAAGTCGGTTAGCCACCGACACTGAGGTGAACCATTGTTTTAGTGTATACTAAACCGAAGATAATACGACACAAAAATAGTGCACATCACAATCGAGTTCCTCGGAAGTGAATAGCAGAGGATATTCGGAGTTAGAGTAGCCAATCAGAACACACCTTCCAACGCTATTCACTGTTTTAGTATACACTTATCATGATTATCATCTTAGCTAATACGACCTCACTCAATTTTAACTCTCAGGGTAGAATGTTTTCTAATAATTGAGAAGAGTTTACTAGAATAGATAATAGCTCAAGTTACGCCTTAATCACTGTGTAATCACTTTTATTGCCTTATGTAAATATCTGACATTTTACACTTGGATGTAAAGTGAAGTGATTAATGGGTACACAAGTCCTGTAGATAATCATGTCAAGTTAGGCTTTAAAATATTTCTGTGAAAAGCATTTTTTTTATTCGAAGCCCTCACTCATGTTTTTACTATTAACGATAAAATGCAGTGCAGTTTTACCAATTATTTTACCTAGAGCTTAATGATACAACTCTACAATAGTTATTTTACAACTAAACAACATATAACTGCACAATTGTTACCCTTGAGAAAAACAACGACACATTTAATCAGTAGGGTTGCGCCTCAATTCAAAATCCAACAATATATCCTGGGTCAATTACAATATTCCTGCAATTTAAATCGACACTAGAAATCATTTATCACTTCGTAATTATCGCTGAATTATTCCTTTTATGCATTTAATTTCAGCTCAAGTGGGTAAACAAAATATTTGGTGTATAAAATCGTAAGGGAGCAGAAGGGCGAGGCTATCTTGAGAGAAAATTGCATCCAGCTTATTTTCACAAATACAAACATTTTTAAGAACGTTGCTTTTGAAGTATGACGATTAACGTCGCGAGGAACTAATTTCGAATTGAGAAATCTATTATATTTTACACATATCACTCTAATTATGCATAGTTTAACAAATTACAAAACCAACAGCGGATACCAATATAAAGTTATTATCAAGTTGAGATTTCAAAGTTGCGATCAAAATGACTCTCGTTTCTTTGAAGTTTGTTGGCTTTATTTGGGTTGCCTCTGGTATTTCTTCAGTGCTCCATGGCCAAGATTCTAATGTTGAAATGTTCAAATCTGTGAGCGGTGAACAAATAGTCTTTTCAAATTTCGTTGTGTATTTGCATAGCCTTCTAAATGTTTCCGCCATGGAATCACACTCCACCGAGACACCTGAAGATTGCCAGGATCTTTGCCTAATCACCCCTCACTGCTTCTCTATCAATGTGGCCATCCATTCTAACTCTGAGAACCGTCGACTCTGCCAGCTGCTGTCCACTAATAAGGAAGGAAAGTCTGAGCACTTTGGACCAAGCAACTATTTCAACCACTTCACGACAGTGGTAAGTATTTTTATTCTTTGAAAGGATTGTTTAATGCAAGCTTTCTTCTTGAACAGCGTCATTTCGATCGAGATCCAAAACTCTGTCTTTTTTCACATTTTGTTTTCAGATAAAACAAAATTATTCATTTTCTCTCCGTCATTTCTCAGTCCGGCAAACTTTTCATTTGTAAAGACAGTTTCGTTTTGATCCCACCAAGGTAAATAGAATTAAAAAAACACTTTTCAAAGGATTAATCATAATATCTCGGTAAGCGTATTTCAGATTTTCAAGTGTCATCCTCTCTTGTTTGCCTCTGTAATAATTCCTCTATAATTTTTTTTTACAGTTCCTTTTTTTGTTTTTGTTTTTATTTTTGTACTGTACCTCTGTGTTTGGTTCTTACTCTTTTTCAAATTATGTCAGCTCTTTGTATCTAAGCTGCATTTTGGAATTTCCCTACTTTTTGTGGCGCCTTTTCATCGCCTTTAAAACATTCCTTTTAAGCCTGCGCCATGCTTCAGTCAACCTTGTTTGCGCAGGGGGACATGTCATCAACACAGCACAAGCAGCAATTTTACCTGTGAATGTGCCCCTGGCCTTGAAGGACAATTCTGTGAAATTGGTAAGGGAGCATTTTGCCAAATATGTATTTTCTTCAACATTTGATTTTCAAAAGAAACGAGAGAAAAAACTCAAAAGCAAGCAAACGAGGAAATAAACAAACACAACTGTGAACCGATTAAGCTTTTTCGGGATCTGGTTCAATACGTAAACATATGGTTTTTACCCTATCTTTACGGAGTTCTTAACTTATTCTTTTTCAGGCGGTACAGGATGGGTTAAACTGAACGTCCGGGGACCAGTCTGTATTGGTGCTAAAGGAGATGCCTTTGGGCGTGTGTCACCTCAGTTTGTAGGATACGTTGCCGCTATTAAACTTGTTCACGTCTCTGGCCTTTTATATAACTCAAGAAATTCTCCTGGAGCGAAATGGGGACACGCCAGAAACAATAAACTTGGAATCCTTATCACTGACGACCAGAATCAAGTCAAGCTTCCCGAAAACTTTACGGGTCCTCAATTTTACACCATGGCAGGCAACACAGCCAGTTCACCGGAGTTGGTGTTCCCCAATTTTACAACGCCCCAAATTGTCTCGACGGATTTGGAATTGAGATTGTGGTATTTGGAAGACCATAATGACATATCTGAGGCTGATAACAGGGGTGAATCTTGTGCAGATGTTTTCATGTTTTACGTGTAAAACTTTGAATTGATTTCCGATCGGTCACAGGCGTAGCAAGCAAGTGCGGGTACAGGTGTCTGTATCCTTACCCCTCCCCCCCCCCTTCTTATTCCACATAGCCTTTGTAAAATAATAATTTTTGCAAAGTTTTTTTGAAGATAATTTTTTAAATATTGGTTTACGAAATCGCGCGAAGGTCGACAATCTACTCGGCGTAAACCATTTCCAGAGCTAGAGAAAACATTTGCTGACCATTCTCACCGCGTGAATACGAACCCTCTGATGTCCAAGGATGAGCATCATAAATCACTGTATGTAATGAGCACGAAAATTTTTAACTGATCAGTCCCTTTTGTTGATAGTACTTGTTCGTTTATCCCTGTCATTAAAGCTCCAATCGCAAAAACGTATTCTGAAATGTATAAATAATTTGATAGGCTGACCTGCCCGTCAATCACAAAATGAATTTGAGATGTACTTTTGGTTGCTGCGCGAGTGATCAAAATTGTAAAATAGCACTCAGAAAATGTATTTACATACTCCATGAAAGAAATAATTTCTGTCCTTCCGCTGTAAATGCGAACAAAAGTACGTGTGTGCAAATGTCATGTGTGGAAAATCAAACCCATTCTAAAATAAGATATTCCTAGAGTCCACGATGATTCTTCATGAGGAATAATTGAGATATATCAAAAGGATGAAAAGGTATAAAATAAGAAAGCTTTTTCACAATGAAAGAAAAGAAGTGAGCTTCGTCTTAACCCAAGTGTGAAATAAAACTACCAGCATTTTGCCATGAAGAGACAGTTCCTTCATTGTTATTATTCAACTGTTTACTGTTGGAAGCCAAGTGTACCTCTATCACGGAGAAGGATAATTGTACAATTCAGTTCTCCTTTAGTAAATCAATTTTGTCTGGCTATAGTAATGGTTGTCCGGTAATCTTATTGGCCTTTTTACTCAATTGAGCCTCACTTCAAGAGGTAAGGTTAGAAAACTGGTATGAAATATGGTATTTATTGGTCTAAAATACGGTCATGGAAATTGTATTCCCCCTCCGCTCCCCCACCCCCACCCCCATTCTCTTCCCTCCCCTACACCCCTCTCTCGCCTTCCATTTACGAGGCGTATGGATTATAAACGAGATTTTAGATCTAAAACCATGAAGCACGTCGTGATCAAAGAAATCTGGCGACACGATGGCAGTAAATTTGACATAAAAAATAAAAAATAAAAAATAAAAACTACAAAGCACGCCGTGACTAATCCTGAGTGATCACCTTCATGCTGTGCTGGAGACAAAATGGCGGAAAGTTGGTCACCTCGGCCATTTTATGTGTGGGTGAAAATTCCAGGCACGCTGTGTCGAATCATTTCTCCATATTGGCATTATCACGCACGCAAATGGCCCCGAATTAAACAGAAAAACATGCGGGGGTGAAAAACATGCATACTAAGGCATTATTTTAAGTCCTGTTTCAGACCCAAGTGGGAAAAATTATTTCCCTCGTTGGCGCTGAAATCTCAATTTTATAGGAAGTCAGAAACATAAATCAAAATTTGTTTGTCCTCAGCTCGCAAAGGTGGTAAAAATTTTGTGTGATGTCTTATATTCAAAATCATCATAAGAATCATAAAGATTATATCACAAATGGAGATTCTCATTGTAATATAAATTGAAACAGAAGGACAATTACACAAAATATCTCAGCCACATTTATTCCCTTAAGAAATAATCTATGTTATTTACCAGCTGGTAGGTGCCCGGGGCCGCAAGCACGGGGAAGTGTCTTTGAGCCCGGGGTCATTGTTTTCAAAATACAAACAAACATCCCAGCCGACAAATAAAATACACTTATTAATAGATTTATTAGTGAATCTTTTTTCTTCTCGAATACAGAACATTTAAGCTACTCTGCAACTTTCGGCATGTTATGCCTCAAAGAACTTAAAATGGGGAGTGCCTACCGTTTGCTTGATTGACAGCTCAGATGAGACCAGATAAAGAAATGATGAGTAGATCACTATCAAATTTATCACTCGTAAAAATAATTAAATTTTAGGGAAATATGATTCTACCTGCTGCCTCTCATGAATAAGGAGGTATAAAATGAGGACGCTTTTTTACAAAAGCAGAATAGAAGTGAGCTTCGTCGAACCACAAGTCAGTCGTGAAAGAATATTGCTAACATTGAATCATGAAGATATTTCTCCTATTTTTTTTGTTTACCTGTTTACAGCTGATGGCCGAGTCTGCCTCAATCAAGGAGAAAGGTAACTGTACAGTACAGTTTGCCGTAAGAATTATTTTTTGGTCTTTCTGTGCGGGTGTGTGCGTGTCGCTCTCACCCCTCTAGTGCTTCTGTAACCTTTTCGAGAATCCAAGCCAATTCAGTTATTCAGTATAGCACTCACGGCAAACGGCACGCAGCAAGTTCTTGTCATCGTTTACCCTTTTTTAATTAAATTATTTTTAAATTTCTGTATTCCCTCTGAAAAAGATCTCTTCAGCATCCACAACCTCTTCTCTCTAACTAAGCCCCCTTCAAGAGCAAATGTTTGATCGTTTCGCATCTTTTGCAAATGAGCAAAAGTGAAACAGGAAAAATTAATTCAGCGGCGATGCGCTCGTAGGCTCACTTTGCTCAATGTTTGCCGGATCAAACATCGCCTTTACTTAGTCACTCTATGTTGTGTGCTACAAACGCGATGTTGACAGAAAATGTTTTAGCTCAATCAAGTTTTTCAACGTTTGGCTGATCCTCTCTTCTCCATGATGGTAAACCTATAACCGATTCACATTGGTTTTTTTCGATTCCCTTCAAAATTGGAATAAAAAAGACTTCAAGTATGGTATTTAAAAAAATCCACGAAGCTTAAATCTTGTCACATCAGCTTGGAAAACGACCAATTTGGGATCCACCTTGGTAATCGAGGACATTAATGCTTTTGGTTTGGGAAGAAAATATCCTGTGGCTAATGTTATCTTGACGTGGTATAATAGGTATATAATTTCTAAAGTTACAGTACTTTAAAGTACTGTAACTTTATGAAGGGTGATGAATTTTTAAAATTACCCAAAATCTTTGTAGAATGATGAATTTTTAAAACAATTCATCACCCTACAACGATTTGGGTAATTTTCAAAAAGAAAAAGAAAAAGAAGAAATGAATATGAACTTTTATGATTAAAAATCATCGCCCTATATGTTATTGAAACATCACTTTTTGTTTCATTATAGAGGAGATTGCAGGTATTCTACGTGAACCAGCAGGGTGCACAGATGAAAACCCCACCTATTGCAGCACATTTGGTAAACAATACTGCACAAATGGACAACTTTTTTCCACTTTCAGCAACTTCGATGACTTCAAAGGAAAGTGCTCCGCCTTTTGTGGACTCTGCTAGGAGAATAGGTACGCCTAAGGATAACTCTTTTCTCAGAAACAATAGGGTTGCTTATTTGAACAAAGTTTAGCTGATGACTAACAAAACCTCGTTCTGAGCCACCTTAAATATAGCCAAACCTTTTACTTGAACAATTGAGAGCAGTTTCAACAGGGCCGAAAACTAATAGTGGATTGACCATTTTAAAATTATATCAACCCTTTTAAGGAGGGTAAAACCGCGTAAATATCAGTTAGGTACTATACGTAAAAACCGCGTAAAACCGCGGTTGTGGGTTAGAACTCGAGTAAATAATAACCCCATTGTTATGCTTGGTTTCGTGGTATTCTATAGGGTGCACGATGGAGTTAATACCTATTTTATCATCTTCATTGATATACTTTTGCTGTTTTTTTAAGTTATTCTTTGATGTGGCTAAACAGCCTAAATCCCCGAGAGAATTTGATCTTTTATTACGTGGTCTGGGCTTGTGGCCCATATAACGCCCGCTCTGATTGGCTCCCTTGATGCTCACAGACCCATTTTGAATTATGCGAGTTAGAGCAGACTTTTAACAATTATTCCACGAGCGAGGGTTGGATATGACATGGTAAATAACCAACAAGGCGTGTAACGCGAAGTTGGCGATGATCAATCTCGTATCCAACGAGCGTGAGTTAAATAATTGTTTCATTAAATTTCATTTAATCCTAAGCGTTTGGATATTTGGAGCCTTTTTCCAGCTCCGCAACAGCTGGCTTAATGCGTATCCAAATAAAGTGACTCGGAATATGAGCAGATGACCGAAGTTGAGTGAATCAGTCAGAACACTAGAATTTCAATATTCTGCGTTGAAAATTTAATGAAAAAGATTATTCGTGGGGTAATGAAAAAGATGTCGCTCATTCAAAACGGAATGGTGTCAGCTCCCGATTATCTCAATACGACCGAACTAAGTGGTCAAAGTCCTTTTCAATTTACTGTCGAAACAGCAATATCTGAGTAATCACAACGACCAATCAAAACAAAGAAAAAAAATCACTTAAGAACAAACAGGCAAAGAGCATGAAGCGCGAGAAAACGTGCGTGACCAAGTTGCAAACAGTTTTAATTTTGGATCTGATTGGTTCAGGGAGAAAGTGGCGGGAGTTTTCTGGACCAATCATAGAGCTAAGTTAAACAACACCAAAGCAACCTTCAATCACTTTCTGTACTCAGTGAAAGCTGCTCTAATAAAAAGTATTTCTTTCTTTCTCATCTTTGTCTATATGTGTGTCCATCACCCAAAAACCAAGCGATAAGAGAAACCTGATGCTATTAAGAAAGCTAGTCTTGTTACTCTGTCTGTGCAGAACCTTTAGGATTTCTAACATCACAGAATTTCATTGTTATCTGAGACATGCTCATAAAATTTACCTCTCCTCTTTTCAGGACACAAATGACGTGAGTGGAGAGTTGAAATGAACAAGAAAGAGTGATCTATATGCTTATAATTGTTGCCCTAGAGCTGTAATAAAAGAAATGATCATCAGCTGTTGTTCATTAGTTTGAGTTTTGTATTGTACTTTACGAATTGAATATCAAAATGACGGAAACCTCGAAATTTGTACCGTTCCGCCTCAAATTCCGACCTCAAAGATAGAACAAGGACCTTTGTGACTTGGGGACTTAAACTGCATGCCGAGGACGAAGAATTTGGGACCTGTGAGAGCCTTTGCTAATTATGATGTCATAGAGAGAATGAGGATCTGTCTGCCCCTAATAAGGAGGCTGCAGATTAGAGACTTCTCAGCGGAAAAAAGACCCGTACCCGTGTAGATAAATATTCCTTGTCAATCACCTTTCAATAACCTTGAATAATTTTCATTGGAAGCGCGTAACCACTTTGTCCTCCATAGCTGCTCTAACTTTCCTCCGACATAGCCAGCTATTTTCGTGTTTGACCGGGTGAGAAAGGGGAATTACGCTGTATTTCATCTCAATAATTAATCAGAGAAAATGAGGATCAATAAATGTGATACACGAGAACACAATATTTTCGCTCCCTATAGTCGTAATGCAGCAAGCACTTCGATGATAGCACGTTAATCTACATAACCTATATGACCGTTCGGGATCGAGGTGCAGTTACGATTTGAAAATGGCAGCTGCGCTTTTATATAAAGCAATTAAGCAAATTCGGGCGGCCAGTCACAAAGAGGTTCATTAAACAGAGTGCAGTGCATGAATTAACAACTGACAAACAAAACAAATCCGTACTTTTGAAATTTTGATAAAGGAGGAAACATTCGTGTCTTGTATTATAAACGTAGATTTGGAAGAAATTTAAAATTACACCTTTGAGCAGGAAAGGTTGTCCTACTTTGTTCAAATGTTAAATTTGCACAGGCGTCAGTATTTGCCTGCTTAAATACAGCTGTCATCTCTTCTTGACACACATCTCCGGGGCAAGATCTGTCATTAGGTGTAAAAGGAAAAATAATCAGGATAAGCGAGTGGATGATCGCATTTACAAAAGCCAATGCAATCCTCTGATCTCGTTGTTAATTAGAACAGCAGGTTTTATGGTCGATCCCAGAGTATTTCTCTAAAGGCACTGAATGGCTTGTGAGTTGTAATCACATCCACCGTTCACACGTTTCTAAAAGTGCAATGACGGCATATTCCATTTTTAATCAACTATAAGGAAAATATCACTAATTTCCATTACCATCTTTTCGGCTAATAGCGGCTTTAAAACACATATCTCACTCCTTCCACGAGCGGTCGATCGAATCGAGGACGAAGCTCTAAGATTAAACTTTTATGCATTGCTTATTTAAGGTAAGTGATAACTAAACAAGAGTAACTTTTCATGTTTGTGAGAAATGTGTCTGCAGCTTCGTTCCATTTGCCTATCCTCATGATCTTTAAGTCGTACGAAATGTAAACGACCACGCTGTGAAAGTATACAAAGGATAAAACTTCGTTAATGATAACAGCAAAAACAAACCATCATTACGCACGCTTTTCTCTTAACTGTGCCTTCTTGTTGCATAAATAAGACCAAATTGTTTGATCGAAGACAGAAATTCGGTGTTTTTTATCCAAGCTTTTTATGTAATTTATTTTCGCCCATAGCAGTGATGAAATTACTATTTTTACATCAGTGAGACTTCATGGACCAAGTCAAGTATAACAAAACCTTTTACATGCTCTTGTTCTCTACTAAAACAGGGACAGAAATAAGAAGAGATTTGATTATTTTCTTGAGGAGAAATTTTAATCAACTTGCTTTTTTTCCAAAATGGTAGAAAACAATCCCGACGTAGTTGATTCTCATTTTCATTTATTCATTTCAATACATTTATCGATGACCTGAGAAAGAAACACTTGGTAGAGTTTAAATCAACAAAACACAGACATAGATCATTAGCAGTTTTAATTTTACGTCCTTTTTTTAGGCTTTATCTCTTCTCATCATTATTTTTTCAACTGGCGCAGAGTCCCTTTTCATTATTCCACGAAAAATTATATCGTTATTACATTTTCTCAATTATTATTAGCGCTTTTCATCGACTCGACAGAAATACAAATTTTTTAATGACCGCCTTCTATGTTTTGCTTTGTTACGACTTTCTGATTTCCTTTTTTTTTTTTTCTCGTTTGTTTTAACTGTCATTTCACCGACGTCAACTTAGGGAAACTGAAAAAATATTTATTTATACTTCTCCCGCTCATGATTTTATTTTAAATTGATGTCACTAATATTCAAAAGAATCAACTACATTAGTTACACTACTAACATTTAGTACAGGATGACGAGCGTAATTTGAATGGCTTTCAGAAAGCTGTCTTTAATCTTACCGAACCAGGCTTATGATAGCTATTTACGATATTAAAAGTTATTTGAAATTCACTTCCTCAAGTAAGGCAGACGGAGAAGTTTCTCCTCGGTTCGTTTGATAACTTTTCTTTTCAATCAAAAACAAGTAAAGCTTTGCAAACACAATTTTCATTGACGTTGATTTCTATGCAGTGCTTCATCGCCATAAGAAAGGTTGATGTTTTTAATTTGTTCTAAACCTTACAAAATAAAAATTCACAAGTAAAATTATATGCCCATGTGAATTAACAAAAAGCGGGCTATCTTTGTGCGCCATTTGATGTATTGCACATAGAACTAAAAGTGCCGTATTCCGGATTCTCGTAAGTAATTTTTCCTTTTTGGGTAATGCGACTTTTGCACTTTGAAATTAAAACCATTTGGAAAGTGCAAAGTTGCACTTAGTTTATGGATTTCTAAGTGGAACAAAATTTGCATTCTACCTTAATCTTAGAGCCAAACCTATCTTTTTCGTTCAGCAGGTATGTAATGAGGAACATTTCAAATTTTCTATCAAGAATCTTTGCGTTGCACTGTCGCTGAATACCTTTCTTTTGGGGAAAAGGAAAAATTTCCATTACAATTCAATGAGTTACAAACCTACTAAGAATTTAATCTGTACCTGGAAAGATATGCAATAATAGAAAACTTGAATCAATATATAAAACAACAATCTGATTAGTTCTTATGAAAAAAAAAAAAAACCTTCTCCACAAAATATTACGATTCACATCAAGAACGTCATGGAATCACCTTCACGAATCGCAAAATTCAAGTGTGAATTCACGCTGGCCCAAACAAATGAAACGCAGAATAAAGCAGTGGTTAATTCATTTATTCACTTCTTTTGTCTTTCATATTTTCCGAGTTGCATGCATAAACGTATTTTTAGTATTATTTGCCCTGAGGAGAAGAAGCTACAAAATATATCCTCACTCCGAAAAAGTCAAGTACGATGCTAAAAGAAGCAATTTGTTGTTGTTTGGAGGCATATTGTCTAAAGTGTCTTCTGATCTATTATGCTTTTCCTAGATGAAAATACGAGCTTAAGAACGATGTGATTGCCCTAAAGTGACCAGAATGTAATCTTATCCGTCCATCTGTAAGACTGTTTTCAAAAATAAATGTAAATTTTACAAAATATATAAAAATGGAGATATCTATTAGTGGCAATATGTACAAATGACAAATTCCGAATCGCGGTAATTTCCAGGTCTGACTTTAGAATACTCAAGTGTTAATTATACGAAAAAAAAAATACACAGTGTGAAGTCAACTACGAACGCTTCAAAGAAACACTTCTGTCCAAACAACTGTCGACAGCTGCTCAAGGGCATATCAGTTGGCCATTACTAATTTCTGAACCAAAACCCAAATATCTTTTTGAAATCATAAAGCTAGAATTTTTTCATGTAACAAAGCATTCCTCGTTGTGAATATTTCGCCATTCCACCATTCCGCTATTCAATCATTCCATCGAATGGCGTCACCCTGTTAAACTCAACGCATTGCTCCCTTCGCAGATATAGCAGGTCTTTTGAGCATTTCTCGCCGATTGAAATGGTAAAATGATCTCTTTTCGAATCAATGAAATTTGTCTTTAAAGTTTCCTCGATATGCAGATCAAACCTATTTAGACATTTCTGCAAAGGAGAAGTCTTTTTTTCAATTACTTGCATGAGACGCCATTATGAAATTATTTTGAGATGTTTATCATCTATTGTGGTGTCACGGTTAGAACTGAAAAAATTGTATCTTTGGATCTACTGGAAATAATTCGCTGATTCAAACGCCAAAATGCTCTCTCTTTCAAGGAAAAGTTTTTCCTCTATATTTTCATGATGCGCTGATCACCACTTTTAAGACATTTCTGCAAGGAAAAGCTTTCTTTTCTCACGCGCCATTCTGAAATGATTGTGAGATGTTTGTCGTCTTCTGCCGCAAAGCCATAACGTTGTCCTAATGCGTGACTGAGGGTACAATAGAATACGAACGACCTCTTCGTCCACAACGAAGTCTGCCGAGTCTTACCCGTTATTCCTCGCTTTTGCCTTTGGCTTATTTGGGAACATCTTCGGTCGTTCAACGCTTAGTGACGATTTCTTCGAATTGCTTCGAATGTTTTACGGAATACTAGGTGATCATTCTGTTTTTCGGTGCTACTTATTGTTTGTCACTACGAGACAGACTTCGTTGTGAACGAAGAGGTCGTTCGTCTTCTACTGTTACCCTCACTCCCTCAATAAGACAACGTTATGGTCTCGCCTCCATAGGAGGCAGTAGCCATAAAAAAATCATCCGCCATTTGATCGCAAAGAGGAACGGAATTTTAGAAACCATAACTGGAGTGATTCAGGAAAATTAAAAATCGTGTCTTGGCAGCAATTTAAACGCAACAAGAACCAATCATTTATGGTGTCAATTTTAGAATTAATAGAATTTGAAAGTGCACAGCAATACGAAAAAGAAAATCGGGAGTGAGAAATGGTTCTTTCTTAAACTAGTTATGACGTTTTCCTTCAGTCATTGTATGGTTTTTCCATACATTCCACCGTCATAAAATATTCTTTCCTCAGTCAACCTGGCACATGAACATTTTCCAAATCACTGCTTTGAACGGAGATGCAATATTTAACTCAAAAGCGCCTTTCTGCGTTTGAACACGAGAATTTTCTGCACCACTCTTATTGAGAGAAAAGTCTTTCACGAAGTAAAATTAAAACATATGTCGATAACCTCAAATTTGTATCGTGAACAAGCTAACAAAAGGAAAATGAAGGCTTCTTTTCATTATCACGGCTTATTTGTCCACTTTAAATTTTCTGTTCAAGTGTTATTCCCTCTTTTGCTCTAAACTAGTTAATCCCGTGACAAATTCTTAACGCGATTTTCTTAATCGATTTTTTAATGAAACAAGTGTCAATTAATCTCTCAGCAAAGATATTTTCGGAAAATGAAACTCCTGTGTTGCTTTCGCAGGTAAGAAAGGCTAGTTATTGTCAAGATTGTGAAACACCCCCCTTTAAAGATCTTCAAGGGAGGCCAAACTGGTATGCATAAATGCACTTGATACAGCGTAGATAACGTGAAAATTCTCCTAGTAATTATTTTTAAAGAATTTTTATTTGCACGACACTACTACAGGGCGGTAAGTGCAATATGTTTTTGCGAATTTCAAATTCTCCATTTGAGTTTATTTCTGTGTCTAGAGGTTCTCAATGGGGTTAACAGTTAAAAATTTAACACTGAGTTGGACGTACAACATGACTAAGGTTAATCGTTCGTCGTAAGAAACCTTAACCGTAATTTTTATAACTTTTAACCGCAACGGAAAGAAATTAACTGTAAGCCATAAAATGACCAAAATTTTAACCGTAAAGGCATCACCTAGCTTTAAGACTCTCTATCTAGATTTAAAATTGTTCATGGAAAATTTTTATTTCCTAAAACATGTTCTGTTTTCAAAAACCACTCAACTGTTAGGATCGATGTTGAAACGGAACGGCGATACTCAAAAAGACCAGCATAGAGGTAGAAATGTATTTAGGAAAGAAATTTATCGGCAAGATATAATTTTTAGAGCTAGAAGGAGATCTACAGGTGCTATTGGATTATTTCTTAACACTAGAGAAGAAACCTGCTTGAATTTTATTTATATTTCCCTTTCGCGAGATACTGGAATATCACAGGGTGTTTTTTTTTTAAGTCCAAAGCGAAATAGTGATATAAAGGAAATATGATCGATGTCTGTTGAGCTCATTTAACCATAGGACTTAATATTTGTACCACATTTTCATTTTCATGTTGCCTTTCATGCTTGACCCTAACAACCATTTGCAGTAGATTTACATGAATCGGTTGACTATGTAAACGCGTGAATTTTTTTTCACAATCCATAAGCTGACAGCATGAAAATATTGGTAGCATGAACAAATTGTGATTTTATATTTCCTTAGAGGATTTTAGTTCAGATTTTGCGCGTAAAATATTCGTCAACATTTTTCAAGGGTTCCATTTGAAAGATAATTGCCTTCAGGGTAGATATAATAGGAATTTACATTTAAAATTGAAACATCAAAGAGTCTTTCGAAACAGCTGTTAAAATGGATGAAAACATCATCTCATATAATGATATATATCTACTACCACAGCAGATAACCTCAAGATGAATAACAGCAGTATGTCTACAGGGGTCCATATGCATATCAATGAAAGATTGCCTGTTACACCCGTGGTTGTAACTCTTTCGTTTTTATCGCTTGGCACTGTGCTCGGAAACAGCTTGGTATTTACAGCGATCCTCATTAAGCCTGCACTTCACAGCGTCACATATCTGTCTGTGTTCAGTTTAGCGATTGCTGACTTCTTAGTAGGAATACTTGCCATGCCCAGTTACATCCTCAAAAAGTTTTCCATGGCAGAGTCTGTCGATATCATCATATGCGACGTATTCCGGTTTTCGTATTTTCTCACCGGATATGCCTCTATCCTGAGCCTTTCAGTCATCAGCGTTGAACGCCTGCTCGCCGTAAAGTGGCCGCTGAGATATGCAACCGTTGTCACACACGAACGAGTTATCACGGGCTTGTTACTCACTTGGTTTGACGCGATAGTAATATCACTGCTACCGTTTGTTCCATGGGAGTCAGATTCTCCTAATAAGGAGTGTAATTACGAACCTACACGCTGGTGGAGCATTATGGTCATTGTAACCAACGTTATATTGCCATTCGTAATCATAACAACTTGCTATAGCTATTTGTATCTCACTGCCAGGTCGCACATAAAGAAGATATTGAGTGACAGAAAGAGCCTGGGAGATACTGAAACCCGGAGACCGCGACAAACGAACGAACGTAAAGCAAGCACCACAATTTTAATTGTTATTGGAGTCTTTGTGGCCACTTGGTTCCCCTCATGCCTTTATTACTTCCTGTTAAAGACCTGTCCGCAATGTTTTTCAGATTCATTCAGAAGTAAACAGAGTATTTTAAATGCTTTCGTAAAAATTTTGACGTTTACATCGTCCTTTGCTAATCCTGTGATTTATTGCTGGAGAAGTCGGCATTTCAGAAGAGCTTTTTTGGAGATTTTGGCAAGACTGTCTAGGAAGTTTTCTACACTGCAAAGAAAGGATAGCAACAGCACTGAAGTTGGTCGCTACAGAAGAAACACAATAACCAGCATTGGTAAAACAGAGGCCTGTAATGTTTTCGTGTCTCAAATGGACGAAGGCAAATACATTCCAATTACCTTAAGCAAACCTAAAACCGATTCGAGGAGAGATCACGAAGTGAAAGATGAACAACTTTGACACGTGCTTGTAATGAAGGAGAGCTAAAATAGACACAGATGTACAATAAAACTTTATATGTCAAAACAGAAGTTTTGAACAACGAAGCATTCAATGACATTAGTAAAAGTAGCTTTGAGTACACCTTGGTCAACTAGCAAATTCGACATAAATAGCAATCGCTTTGATGTAAACTGAATTGTGTGGACAACATGGATTGGATTAGATTTGTTTGGTTTTATCTTGAGGGTTGCCCTCAAGACATTTCAGAATTGCTTTGAGATCTATTGACAAACGGACCTAGCTATTCTTGAACGAAGGTCTAAAATGACATAAATTATAGCAAATGGATCTCTTGAAGTAGATGCTAAAATCAGCATCATCATCATCATCATTATCACATCATAATCATCAAGAAATGTAAGTTAGAGTTGAGCAGTCTGGGGTATAAATTGCATCCATCTAACGTATCTTATTATACATATATACATATGTTTTAAGATACGTTTGATAGATGCCGAATTATATCTATACCAGACTTCTCAACTCTAACTTACATTTTTGATGATTATGATGTGATAATTAATATGATAATATTTGTTTCCCAACCATTTGACAATGCTGTAGCACATAAGGACTCCACTAAAAGACCTCCTGCTGGAAAAGGCTTCAGTTTATTTACCGTCTTTGCATGGTATCTTTTAATTCTATTTACACTAAAGTATTTTAGTATTTTTGCGCGAAGGTCTAAAAAATATACTTTCAGAGTCATTTTATTTAGTAACTATTTTTACGAACGAAAGTAATTGAGAAAGAATGGCAATTTAACAAAAATTTAAAATGTGATCAGATGTGCTTCTGCCGAATTTTTTTTTATAAAAGATCCTTAACAATTATTACTATTATTGGTATATCAGGCAAGAAACCCATTCAAATGGACAATCTGTACAATACGAGTCCTCTAAAAGCGTTGTTATAACAACGCTTTTAGAAAGCTATGAACAGTTCTCACCCCGTCACAAATTTTGATGTTCACAATCCTCTAATTTGTCCAAAGATGTAAAGTTCATATCGAGCCTAGAATTAATATTTTCTTCCTAAGTGATAAATCTCAAAATTATTTCATCGTTCTGTTTGGACTTGCATTGAAACCGTACGAATAAATGTAACGCTGACAACTGACTCCAGAGCTCAAGACTAAAGCACAAGAACAATATCGTAAAGGTTATGTTTCCAATGACGACGGTAATGATCAAAACAGTAATCACAACAATAATCACAAACACGGTTATGATATTAATTTAGAGATTTCCATCAACTTGAAATACCACGAACTGCAACTTGCTAGCATGAAATGTTCAAATGTTCTTTAGCTTAACCTGACACAATAAATTAACAATAGCTTCCAACTGCTGCGAAAATTTACTAAATATTTTTTCACGATAATTATCAGTTCTGAGGAGAGTAGTTTCCCAAATGCGAAGCTCTCGCTCCAAATGGAAGCTATTGTTTTTTTCCTTTTTAGCGCCCAGGCAAAAAAAACCACTACATACAGTTTGTAGTGTGGTTCTTCATCTGCAAGGGCCGAAAAACGCTTTAAGCCTTAAATGAAGACTTCGTTGTATCAAAAGTAAGGTTTGAAAATTGTAGAACATCACTAAGGGGATTATCACTAGAAGTTCCCCACCTTTTGCTGAGGCAGATTCAGTCAAGTTCTTATTAAGGGAAATGCGGTAAATAATTACGATCGTTACGTAGCCTCTGAGAGTCTTACACAAACGTTGACCATTCAAAGATCCTACACTTGAAAAAATAGAAAACCCATACCAAGTCTAGTGCACGTTTGTTCGTCTTTATAAAGACACGCGCATCTTAGAACTAACAAACCGCTCTTTAATTGCCGCGAGATTTATTCACAGTCGCGCTGGAGAAACTATGACGAGTGCACTGCACTGTCCTCCTAAGCTGGAACTAATCATAACCGTTTCTAATGCAAAGCCGGATATCGCTTGGTTATGTCATACTTATCTGAAATGTCGATAACTTTAATTTTTAACTTTAATAGTTTAATTCTGTTGTAATCTCTTTCAAATTTGAGCCTCACCAATTGGTAAAGTATACCATGCATCTTCGGCCTTGGTATTCAACCATTTTGACTCGAACAATTCTCTAAAATCCTTCCCATTCTTCAATGTCACTTCTGATAATTTCTCCAAAGCTTAAAGCAAAGAGTCCATGGATACAGGAGTCCCGCTGACGAAGGTTATTGTAGTAAACTGGGAGACACCGCGCTTGTCATGAGTCTTTCTTCTTAAAAATGTCCGCCATTTTTGGTCGCTGTGCATCTTTTAATCGATGGAATCCACTTATAAACGTGCTTTTAATTTCTTGTCCTATTTTGCTACTGGAAGGAAGGCTTGGAAAAAGGAAAAAAAGATTCACATTTAGGAAACGAGCAAAAAAACAAACAAAAAAAGAATGAAATTCAATCGATATTCAAAGCAGATAATTACTGTGAGAGTGATTTCTGGTCTGCCTTAACCTCACATTCTCTGAGAAGCACATGAACAGTTTCCTGTTAAAAAAAAAAAACAATAGAAAGAGGAGCGATTACAAATAGCATTTGCCTCAAAAGGGTCATTTTGGAGCTACGCATTACAACAATCATATCGAAGAAAACTGCTTAATGTTAGTACTACAAGATTATAAGGCACAAGAAAGGTACTAATAAACAAAGAGGGGACACGGATTGGTAAGGATTGGGGAGATTTACATGGATTACAAATGACAAACTGAAAAATTGAAGCCAAATTTGTAACGATGGAATATCGTGACGTAAATATCTCATTGTCATTAAAACGTTTGAACAAAATGACCAGAAGTCATATTTGTTTACTTATTCAAGAAAAAAGATTTGGATTTAAGAGAGCTGCCTTCCACCAATATGGCCAATTTTTTTTTTTTTTAGTTTTTCAAACCACCGACATGGCCAATGTACCGTGAAGTTAACAAAATGTTATTAGGCCCAACCTCGCATTCTGGAGCCAAAGCCTCGATGTCCTGTTTAACCGCGCGGAGTCCTGGGATGATGTAATCATTTAACACATCAATAGAGATGACAAAGAATGGTTAAGGAAAAAAGTCCACAACAAATTATTTCGATATCTCTCCGCTTAAAATGCCTCGACTAGACGAAAATAAGATGAATAGGGGTAAAAAATGATGACAAAATAGTAATTTAAGTGCGTTGAGTATAAGATAAGCAGTGTAAACAGTCTAAGATAACTCTGACTAAAAAAGAGAACAGATGCAGTGAATTTCATCGCGCTCGCGCCAAATGTTCAATGATCGAGCTCAAAATTGACCATCTTGTGCAACCTTAGAACACATTTGACGCTTTCGACGAAGAAGTTTTGCGGATAAAAACGCCGTAAAAAACTCTGAGAGCGAGGCGCAATCTAACATGGAAAAATCTAGAACTCTAACCATAGTCAGCTCCTTGCACTTAGTTCATCGCTTACATGAATTAGAAGGATGAGCTTGACGACAACTATTGGCATATGCAGAGAAATAAAATGAAGTTGTGGACTCGTGACCAACTTCAAATAATAACCCAGAATACATGACGGAAAGATGGAACTAATCCACCGAAAAAAATTCTAATAAAAGTTTCTCTAATGTAATGAAAAGGATACAACAACACGTCAAAGACACGTAAGCTTCCATTAGCTCCAGTGCAATCTCCCTCCGTCTCGTGTCGTCTTGCGATTGGTTATTGATTGTTGCCATGACAACCAGCCGCGGTAAGAGAACTGGTGAACAAATAACATTGTAATTAGTGTGTTTCCCAAAAGTGGAATTTTCGTGCATAGAAATAATTTGTTTCCGTGAAATGGACGCGTGAAAGGACACGGATTCAAAGTTTTGTCATCTTCCTCCTGGATTAAAGATTTCTTTCATAATGGCTGGCATGACTACTATCCTATTATGAACATGCAGATGAATCTACTGTGCCCTCATTATGGTGTGAAAATTCCATTGATTTTGAGCATGCTGACGGAACTAGGAAGGCTAATATATTTTACATGCATACAAAAGAATAAAAACATAGCCCGCTATTTATGAAAGAGGTCTGTCGCCTTCTTTTCTCTTTGACCTTGCAGATCATCTCACTGAATGGAATTGAATTTTAAAGGTTAAATTCTAGCCTACCTTCATCTCTGAAATGTGGCTCTGCATGAGGGGCGACCTTGCCAAACGTTCTTATCATGGTAGCCTGTAGTTCATGTTGATCTTTGTATTGTGGGTCTTCAAGAAACGACTGGAACTGTACATAAACTTTTTCTAAAATCTGTAGACGCAAATTAAAAAAATCCAGATTAAAGACCGTAAGACAGTAAACTCCATGTTACAGGCCTGTACAGGCATCTATGACCCCCCCCCCCCCCCCCCCCGCCCCTTCCGGGCACAATTAACTGTTGAGGACCCTTCCCTCTTTTAATCGTATCTCCAGTAAAAATACGCCATCCCTGGTTCCATTCGTTGTCTGGCAGAATCACATTCAGGGCGCTCACGATATTGGACGCGGTCTAGCTTTAATTTACAAGTTATTACTTCACATAGGGCTTAACTCGGCGCATCTCTTTCTCTTGGGCTAAATTTTCGTAGAAAAATTGTAATAAGTACGGGTATGAGCATAAAATAACAACAGATTACATCTATATCTACCATTTTATCGGTGACATTTTCTACTATTGCACCAAACGCCGGAATTGCCGCCGTTCTAACTGACCTGAACAAAAAAAAATAAAAAAAACTAATCAATATTTCAGCACAAATAAGAGGAAAAAAGTGAAAAATATGTTGATAACACGCCTTTTAACTTACATTTGTGAATCTGAAGCTAAAGTTACTAGAGCTGGTAAAACCTTTCTACTGATTAGATCCAGGTCAACACCTTTCATTAACACCTGCAAAGGGTGAAAGATACGACGGCATCTTACACTCAGTAGATTTAACTTTTTAAATTTTCTTTTTTAATGATAAACTAGTGAGCAGCTCTGCACAAACTAAAATAGTAAAAACTTGTTTTAATCTCCTACGCGTTTCGTCTGACAATAGCAGACTTCCTCAGATAGTTTTTTCAAGTTGGGCAAATAAGCTTGCTTATGTACAGGAACAGTTATAATGAAATGTCGATTTTCGACTTCAACGCATAGAGAGAAGCAAGCGGAAAGCATTCGCAAAGTATGACCGAGGTGTTGTACATGCACGACATTTTTCGGACGTTACATGTACATGTACATGTACGAGTAGGTGAATAGTTTTGTTTGCTAGTCCAGACAACACCGTGAAGGAAAAATTATGGTCTAACATTGCTTCCTGTCATTAGCATTAGATTCTGACACGTCCTATTTATGCAGCCAGGTTGCTGAGTTGTTTCCAGAATGACGGTGTCGGTAGTCAATAGTTTGTACCATTTACGGTAAGTAGAAAATTGTTAAACACTTCTAAATGACGGGATTTGAAACTATAAGGGTCTCTGGAGCATAGAGTGAATTTCATGCAAGCTATATTTTCAACGTTAGACGAATCATTACATAATATATATTTGAGTGAGTTAACTTACAGTAAATAAAGGAGCCGCACAGCAGCGTACTAAGGAACTGGAATGGACAACTATCTCCCAAAGAACACCTATAAGTACCTCAAGATAGCGGGATGAAGTACTAAAACAAGAACATCAAACGAAATCAGTGGTAACAATACTAATACTTTAAGCTGTGACAGCGTATTTCTGATGCGAAAGTGTAATCAGCATTAGAGAGCAAAGACATTCAAAGATTAATCGACACATTAATTTTTTTATAAACATTTTTGGGTGATCCTGTCATAAATCACTGAAGGAATTGTGAAATAAAATTCTGAATCATCTGACGTTCAAAGCAAGTTTTTGCTCGAAGAAGACAGGAAAATTGGTTTGGCAAGACTGAAAAACACTAAAGAGGCCTTATAATAACATGTGTGGCTTAGAATTTCAAACGTATGGCGAATAACAACATGGAAAAGTTTGGTCGAGAAATGGACGAGAGCAAATGAGCCAATCGTGTCTCGCCATTGTAACAGGGGTCCGTGAATCAGCTGTCACTCACCTCAACTCCTGGTACATGATGATTGGTCCTTGGAGTGATGCCGAGGCTTCAGCCAGGGCAATTACCGAATTGCGTAATAATGACGTCAGTTCAGACATGTCGTCCTCCTGGTGAGACCAAGTAAGGTTGAATAAGAAAACTTCCAGTATGAGCTGATTTTATAATGTGAAAGTCCACGACTTCAGTAGTAACGTACAGTCTGTTATAAGTCCTACAAGCGCTTACTCTTTCACCAATGGATTTGATAATTCAAAACCTACCGAATCAAAACAACCCAGGATGCCAGCGGCCAGAACTGGAAGCGAGGCACTGGATAGGAGACTTTCTCTTTTTTCTAAAGGCCACAAAAGAAAAAGGTTGAAATGAACCCTAGTGACAAAAGAAGACTTCAACATTACTTTCATCACTTCTATGATCATTTTTATAAATAGACATAAATAGGCAGATTAGATGACCAGAAATTAATGATTTTACCAGTTATCATGAAACGCTGCGATAAGGCGTGAAGCGCTGACCTTGTTGGTGCAAAAGTCTGCCAAGGTGAGATTTTCAAATGGAGCAACTAAACTGTCCCATCCACTGCCCCACCCCCCTCCCAAAGAAAAATTGAAAAATTGAAAAACAAAAAAAGCTGCTCGCAAGTGAGCTCTATCAAAGGACTAAACTATAAAACTTACCTTTGTCTAAAGAGAGAACATTTAATCTTTGCATACAAAATGGTTTTATCTGCAAACAAGAGTTATAGCAATTTTGACAAGGCAGTTGAAAGATACTATGGATGCATCTTATTGAAAAGAAAAATTAACAATATTATGAGGGGAATGGAAATTCTTTAATAAACATACACCTTGTGAAATGGACAGACTTTACTTAGCCGGACAAGCAGAAATTAATACTTACCCTTCCTGAAGAGCAACCTCTCCTTATCAATACAATTAACCCTTTAACTCCTAAGAGTGACCAGCTTCTAATTTCTCCTTACAATATCACCCCTGAATCACACATTAAGGTCACGAGAATCAAGGAAATGATCACCAACTTATAAAGCTCTTGATTTTTTAACAAATTCTCCTTGTTAGCGCTTCAGGAAATGTATAGAGAACAGTATGGAGAATATGCATACTGATGTTAGGGTGTAATGGGTTAAGTAAGAAAAAGGTGATGTGAAAATACACACTTATTTGCTAAAGGATCTTGAATTAGATAACACCAAACTCTCTGATTTATTAGGACATTTATGGCTGCTAAAATGGAAAATATGTACTCAAATATTGAAAGTTTAAGGGATAAAGTTAAAAAATGGACATGTATTTGAAAATGTAATGTTTTCCTCACCTTTTTGTCTGAGTATGGTTTCCCAAGTGTAATACACAAAGAGCGAAAGAGGGAAATCAACTGTTGTACACAGTCCGTCAAAGATACATGAACTTTTCCTAGAAAAGAAGAAGTACAGTTTATAGAGACTCTCCTTTGACATGTGACAAGAAAATGAGTAATCATATCTCCTTGTGTTTAAAGGTGTTACAAATAAACTCACCTACAATATCACACAGATTGGGTAAACTGTAAAAAGAAATGAAAAAAACCAAGGTTTTCAATAATCAACATGATCTTCAAAGAAAGAAGTAGTTCGTTTCTCCCGAGCGTGAAACAAAGTAAACCAAATACGGCAGGTAATTTAGTGTTAACAACAGTTGAAAACGTAAATTAGCCACCGTAAAGGATAAAAAAGCTGACGTTTCGAGTGTTAGCCCTTCGTCAGAGCGATTGGAGGAATTGTGGGTTGTGTATGGGTTTATGTGCAGAAAGTGGAGCTACGCCATTGGTGAGAATATGGTGACAAGAAAACAGGAATGAATTAGTTGAATGAAAAGCGCTCGTTGATTCCGTGGGGATTAAGGGTGCCTAGTGTTTTACGGCTTTCCGGAAAGCATATATTCCCAGTGTGCACCAGAAATATTTCTGAAATATTACAGCGCCCAGTTGAAGTATCCAATCAGACTATTCTTACCATTCGTAATGAATCCAGGTCAAACTATCCCATGAATCAAAGTGGTCCTCCGACACGTGCTTGTCAAATCGACGAACATGGAAGGCGACAGCCTGGTTCCCGCCAAAAATCGTCTCGATATCGGTCAGCGGCGATTGTGGTGTTAGCAATCTTCCTGGTGCAACTGGTTGAGAGAAATCAAGGGGTCATTAATTTTATTCAATTGATTTTAATTGATTTTGGTTCTTTTTTCTTCCTTTTTCACTAGCCTGCTTTTGCTTATGCGTGATACCGTCTAACAGCTGTGTGTTTTGCCGTTAGTAGTGATAAAATTAATCATTTGCTTAGGTGGAAATCTATGGTAAAAGAACGACCTAACCCAACCATCGCTCAATTTCGGGATTTGTAATTGCTTTAGAGATAAATTTTTTCATCAGCGGGCTAATAGCAAAACACGATATTTTGATCAACCTCATCAAATTATTATTATCATCGTGTGGTAAGGTAGTCCTAACGTAAACTCGAGCGTTCTGGTCGGTTCTTACTTGGTGCGCACTTTGCCATACGGACCACATCCACGGAAACAGTCACAAGCCGTGCACTTAAGGTCGCGAAAGCCGGCAAATTTAACTTAAACAAATTTGGTCTAAGTACCATATAACAAACTCCTAATTATCCTCGATTGCTCGAGCCGTAGTGGAGAATATCAGTTTTTGGTTGCTGTACTCTGTTCGCACTGCCACGACCAACATTCCCCAGAACGGCTCGGGCGCTCATTTAGTAAGAAGTTAAAATTTAGTAACAGCACCTGGCACATTGTATTTTTCGACTTCTTCTGGCTTTTTGGAAAATGGCGCTGAGTAGGAGAAAAACAGAGCATTACAACTTAAAAAGTAAGAAAACAGCTGATAACAAGTGAAAAATGGTACAGATAACAAGATAAAGGTTCGGAACGTGGACATAAAGTTTTAACTAAAATTTCAACCTTTCAGATTTCAGGTTGCCGCGCATGCGCTAAGTAAGAAAACACAGATGATGCAAAAATGGGTAATTGGGAAGAATAGCTCCCCTCTACCGACTGTAGGCCAACTGTCGGCCGATAGATTACCGACGAGCCACCGACAGATAACCGTAAAGCCACCGACAGACAACCGACAAGTTACTAGTCGGCCATTACAAAATTAAAGAATGTCAAAGTTTGCTTTCATAACAAAGAGCAGAATTGCCAGTTATGTCTTTATTCATGCTTATGTTCCCAGGGGATCATGGGGAAAAACCAATCGCAAAAATTTGGAAAACCTAGAGCTTACCTGTCCGTAGAACTGAGGCAAACAGCACCGGAATAAGCGATGAAATAACTTGAACAGAGCGTGCCAGTCTGTCGTGAATTGCTTCAAATGTTTTATGTACTTTCTCAGTATCATCTGAGTCATTGGCAAGTTCGTGAACCTGCTCTAAATCCTACCAAATAGAGACCAATCAATGAGTTCAGTGAGGTCGCTCAATTGAAATGCTCACTAAGACCAAGTTTACACAGCCCGGCGACAGTGTTATAGGTACTCCCTGTTCAGTGACAAGTCAAAAGGTCAAATCAAGTATTGTGTCCAAACACTTAAAAAGACACCGTACCTTTAAGGCATTTTCCACTATGGAGATTAGGGAGGTGAAGAGATGAGACTCTACTTTATCAAGATCTTGAGCCCATGCGGCAAATGACGGTAGAAACACTTCTCTGGAAGTCTTCGCTACTTTTTCTGACGGATCAAACAACGTTTCCTCTAACAACTCGTAGGCCTGAGAAGAAAAAGTTGCACAATATCTGAATCATTCCACTGTTAAAGAGAAACGCTGCATGTTGATAAGCCAAGGACGAAGAAACATTCTGAGTTCCCAAAGGGAATTCAAGTCGGCCGGAAGGTTCAAATTGCTACGTACGGAGCTGCAGAGAACTAGCTTAAAGAATCAAGCCGGGTTGCTAAGCATGCTAAGCTGTATATGGGACATGAGAGGTGTTAATAAGCTAAAGTTGCATTCCTGCTCCTGGTTTTGCAGTTATTTACAAATTTTGCTTCTCCTTTATTGTCTTTGAGTTCATTCGCCGTCCACACATTATTTTCTTGATTAATATTTCTTTACTATACGTTTTGAGAACGTTTTGAGCTCGTTTTCGCGGGCTCTTTCACCTTCATTTTTATCGAGGGTCCAAAAGTCCAAGGTAACTCAATATTCTAAGACGTTCTCCTTTCTCGTGTCCTTACCTGTTGATATTTATCCACATTTTCCATAAACGCCACGACAAGTCCCAGACTCTTTGTTACGGCCTCTCGAACAGCCTCGTTTCGATCATCGCTCAGCATTTGTTTCAACATGGACCACACGAGAGAGCTACGAATGTAATCCTGAAAGAAAAAAAAAATAAAGAAACAGGTGTAATGCGTGATCATAAATTGACCCACTAGGCCTCGTTCATGCTAAATTCCGTCGAGCCTTTGGTATAAAAATACCCACTTTTCATTAGGACATTCCCTTTATCTCTGGGCTCTAAGGTTAATGTTAATAAAATTCACTATCTACTCCTTAAAGGGACGTTTTAAGTGGGAGACATTGTGTTCTTCCGATTGGACCCAACAACCCTATCCTAAAAATACATCATATAACGAAAAAGAGTGAGCAAATTCGAAATCGCCCTTGGAAACTTCCAAATGTTCAACGTAGGCATTGAAATAAAAGTGAAACGAAATGCTTTCATTTCCTAACGAGTTCAGTAAGTTATTTACCGGTAAATACGGCGCTAATCCACCACAAGCTTCAGCAACAAGGAGTCTTCTTTCAACATACTTGTGGCCAATCTGCAATGCAGCGTAGAAAATGTGAACGTTAATCATATTCTTTCCACCGTGACAACACACAGGCGAGTCTCTGTGTCAATATATAGTTCAAGCGCACTGTACCTGTTCCCACCATTGTGGTAAAAGTTCAGCCTCTATTCGAGTTGGTCCCACGACCTGCGCAAACGCAGCACACCCGCTCATAATCATCTGCCTAATTGGGTAAATAATTCAACTTATAACAAAGCAGTGATGAAGAAAATGAAAAAGGCGAACAAACAAAAATTGAAGACTACCAGAGATCTTTGCTTGTGTCTCTAACGATTACGTGTCTTGAAAATTAGAAGCAGCGCAAGGAGAAATCTAAAGCGGAGTACCGTTCTGCTAAGAAAGGCTACACTCCCGGCTCCGAGGAGGACATGTGTACATGCAGTGTGTCACTTTCCTTTTTTACAACGCATACGCCATTTTAAAAGTAATAGAACATTCTACTTGAGTTTTCATCTCCGAGAAACACAACAGTGGTTTGTGTATCTAAAGAACGCTTTTTGACCCACCTCTGATCTTCGTCTGGTCGTTTAATAAGATTAAATAACATGTGAAGAAGATTATCTCTTTCCTTCACAGCTGGATGGTGAATGGCTGAACAAAGAATTACGGGAATCAATTCCTACAATAAAACGAAAGAAAATTCGGTTTTCTGTAAGACAAAAGATATATAATTCAGGTTTTGTATTGCAGTCAGTGTGAATCTTGTCCATCCTTGGCCACGCCGTTCCTTCTTAGTTCACTGTTTTATGTTTTACTGTTTTTCTATCGTACCACGCGAATATTTTGTCGTTTCCTTCAAGTTGAAGGTTGTTTGTTTTAAGGTAAAATAACCGAAGTAATTTATTCAAAGTACTATTGCTGACAGAAGCTCTTCTATTACTTATGACTAAATTGCAAGTATAATTTGCGCGTGCAGTGATTACACTTGACACAAAGTATAAATATTAATTCATCTGTAGACAGTATTGGAACAACAATTCTCCAAACCAAACTGTTCCAATAAGCACCCCTCACCCCTCAACCACTGTTCAGCACATCAGAGAAAAAGCTAGTCATGAGCATACTTGGACAACAAGCCTACTTTGGGCACTCACCTCTCTTTTGTTAAGCAACACGTTTGGTACAATATGAGGCAAACATCTCGCAACAATTAGAACCACATTTTCGTCAGCGTTGGAAAGCTTACAGACCTACATATCATAAAGACACAAGTCAATAGCGCTCATCCCCTCTAAACGTCCTTGATCCCTAGCTCTCTTATCTTCCAGCTCCATGTTGCTCCATGAAGCAGAAAAGATGGAAACCCTGAAAACGAAGATGCCTATCCAAAACGTTAAGTTCGGTTGAATGTTTCGAACCTCGTGGCCTTTTCACCGCCGGAGTTGATATCGCTTTATGTGGCTTGAAGCAACAAGATCAGATCCTAGTCAATCGCAGGTATCTCCCCCACCCTCTCACATTGCATTTTTTCCCCGGCACCTACATGAACACCTAAGTAATTAAAGATACTAAAAGAGTTAAGTGCCTTGCCTATCAACAGAACTCACTGAAGCGCTCACGGCTCAAACCAGACCGTCCAATGCGGATTCAGCTTGCTAACCCCTTCATCTCTCTCAAGAAATGCCAGCAAGTTACCTTTACTATCTTTCAAGCCCGAAAAAGTTTGCAGTTCACCTACCTCATTAGAAAGTCTATTCTCTAACTGTACGTGCGTGAAAGTCAACAGCGTGTCTCTAAATAAAGATGAAGTTGTTCTGAAAGGAAAAGTGAATCTAAGTTACAAGCTTTGTACACTCTAATGTGTACAAGCAAGCTTCAGATATGGTGTTTCCTGCTCGTTTCTCAGAACCGCCCTTATTTTCACCGAGTGTAAAAAAGCTTCTAACTACGCAGGCCATCTGAATAGCCGCGGCGAGTTTGGTCACTGGAAAAAAAAAGAGGCATGCAAGATCAAGAAACGCGATTACTACTTTGGGGCCCGCATTCTCTTCCTAAATATGCGTCTCTCTTTACTTGCAGAAAAAATGGTCTTCGTTCTCATTTCAAGGAAATATTCAACGCCACAAAATTAAGTGACTAAAAATAAAGCTCCTTTAAAATGGAAACCGGAATAATCTGTCGTCTGTTCTGTTCACTGTGAAAAATTTCACCCTCCGTACCTTGATGAAGTTTGATCTTTCTCTTCATTGCCGCTTGGCTGTGACGATGGAGAGAAAGGTGTGACTTGAGGGTCATCACCCTAATCACAAGCGAAAACAGCAAGAACAAGTTTGAAAATACAGCATCAACGAAACTTCTACTGAGGGAAGTTAACAAATCAAAGAAAATAAAGTACACTTTTTTGGAAATTCAAGTCTATCTTTTTTTTGATAAAGAAAATTCACGTCAGATCACTCTACGCTGTACCATTGCGTTTTTTCGATGGAAGGTGGTAAAACCACACCCAAAGTAACCCGAACTCACGTGAAAACAAGCCAACAGCCTAAAGCGCGGAAAAGGCGGGTGACCAAGTCGCGCTTGGTCTAAGTTTTGGATCTGATTGGTCGAGATGATGGGGCCAGTTTTCTGGACCAATCACAGAATGAAATAACGCAATCCTGGATTATCTCCGAAACAATTGGAAATCGCTCTAACGACGAAAATGACTAATCATGTTGTACATTGGACTGATAAACAACGTTTTACTGTCGTTTGTCTAAGTTACTAAAATTGTAGCGATGTAAACGCCCTCTCTTTCCATGCGCGACAAGGCCAAACAACAGGCTGCAAAGGAGACTAAGAACCACCTAATGGACTAATTTGTGTAATTTTACCTTTTGTTGTGTCAGTTCCACATCGGCTGTATTTCGTTGATGACCACCATCGTCAGGTAAATTTTCTTCGGGATCTTTACTACCCAATTCTTCACTAGTCTGAAGTTTCTCTGCAGCGTCTCCATTTCCTTCCTCATTTGGTACATTGCCTCTTTCACTAATCTCCACAGCATCACTGTTCTCCGTACCATCAGTGGCGTCCTCATTCTTTGTTGTTGATTCGCTGATGTGTTCTGCTGTGACACCATCTGTATCTGTCTCTGATAATTCAATGCTTTTCTCTACGCTCAGCGAGGCCCTTTCAGTCAAATGTGATGAGTTGACAATCTCCTTTATTTCACTATCAACAAGAAAACAATTGAAAAATGATTATTGTTTTTATTGATGTGGTTTTGACACATTTCCATCTAAAAACATTTTTAATCGTGCTGGGGTAAAAGCCGTCTTATTTGACTTTTGATTTTTGCAAAGGTACCCATAGAGAAGCAATTAAAAAGACAAAAGATACTTTGGTACTAAAACCAAAATTCAATTCAAATGAAAAATCAACTTCAATTCAGGAAACTTGTCTCCCTATTTGGCTATTGTCATAATCTACCTTTCCAATTTTTCAACTGTTTCATTCAATGTATGGTTCTCATATTTCAACTCTCCTATTCCCTCCTGAAGCTGTTTGCACTCCTCTTGTAACTTGGCATATTCTGCCTCCAAGTTTGCTTTCTCTTCTTTCACTGATTTCAACACCAACATCACTTCAGGTACAGTGTGATGTCCATAGTCTCTGTAAAGATGCAGCAGGTCTGGAGGCTTGGCAGTGTTCAAACCCACATCGTCCCAGTCATCAAAGTCCTGAGGAAAAAAAACAATATAAATTATAAAAAAAAAGTATTTATTGCCTCCTGGTCTGGACACTTGAAAGGTTAAATTTGTTTTATTAGCACAGGCTGAAAATCTAATTGAAAATGGCAAAATTCTAATTCTGGTCTCTCAAGAGGTATATATCTGTAATAATCATTGTATTTATGTACATATAAAGAGCTCAAGCAAATTCTTTGACAATCCTCACTCAGCCTGAGAGATAGACACCCAGGGTATGGTGTTTTCTGAGTAGTTTCACTGATAATGTATGGTTACTATAGGGAGAGGTTACATGTTAATCACTTCTGGGGGTTAAAGAGTTAATTCATCACAAATAATTCATGATTATAGGTCAATTTATTCAAATCACCTGATCAGCATTCTCATCTGAGAAAGTTACAGAGGTCATTCTGTAGCCATTCTTTAGTAAGTATTCATTCACTAAGAAATTCAGGGCTCGCTTCTCATGTGGTCTCAAGGAGTCCTGATAAATTAATAAAAAACAAATACCTTTAATGATATCAACATAGCCAAAAACATATTCATTTTTAATTAAAAGATTGCAATTGCATGCAAAATATTACTTTACTACTGATGTTAATAGCCATATATTTCAGTGATAGAGCATCTAGGCATGATATCTGAAGGTCAGAGGTTTGATTGAAACTGAATATGGATCCCTTTCAATATCAGCCTCTGACACAATTCAGATTTGAAACACCTCTTACAACTTCCTTACCCCTCCAGATGAATGATCTCTGTCAATATTCTCTCCATGACTACTTTCAGAAGCTGGAGTTTCAGTTTCTAGAATAAAATGACAGACTTACAATTTATATCTGACTAAAGGTGAATCAAAACATGATTAGCATTACAATATGAAATTTTCCTGCACTCAGGAAGTCTATTCTGAAAAATTTAATTCAATCGTAGTTTAAAATCTGTGGCTGCTGAGACAGGACATGATGTCCATTGGAATGAACAGGGCAGAAACTAAAACTACCTGCTCAACTGAACAACATCATGTACAGCTGAAGTTCTACTTGGAATAGCAAGTAAACATGTGATAGCTTCAAGCTCCTATTACTCATGTACTGAGTTTCATAGGACTTGATACCTCCAGCCACTCTCTTTCCTGAAGGGCATTTGCTTCATGAAATAGGGATAAGACATTTACCCCTTATACCATATTGTGATTTTCAATAAATGTAAATCTTGACAAAAAATTACCAGTTGCTTCAGTCAAAGATCCCCTCAGTGCTTTAATAGTCTCATGAGCTTTCCTCAATTCAAATTCTAAGACTTGAAATACAAAATAAGAATATGTTACACATTTTTTATAAAGCCAGAATATGCAGTTTAAAAATACCAAGAACCTGAATCACAGGCATTTTCCACACTGCAAAAATTCCTATGTCTTCAGCTCAATATTGGATAGAGGGCCAAGGAGAAAGAACCCCCTAAGAGCTACAAGTCTTTTTTTCTGAAACTGGAATTGTGAACCATTGATAAACTGAAGTTTATATCTCTAAACTTTACCATTCCAAAATTTGACTATATTCTGATCCACAAACCTGCAACCTTTTCATCTGTGTCTCGGGCACCATCGTCTGAATAACGAGCATAATCATCCAGTGAATCAATGGTTGCAATACTAGATGTGCGAGCTGGAAAACAATAATAAAATAGAGTATAGCATCATGCATCTAAATGCCGACAACTGATCATAATAATACAGAAGAGCAACATTGAAATCAATAGTGATAATATTTCAGGAGAGAGCCCATAAACCGGGCCGTTTTCGGTGAAACTCCCAAAATCATGTTGATGTTCAGTTATTTGAAGAGAAAAACAATTATAGCGATAATTAAAAAAAGGGAAATTTGTGTGTACCTTTTTGTGTCTCCCATAGAAAAATCAATTTATTTTTCATTAGGCTGTTTATTCAAAAACAATATCATCAATGCGAACAGCACAAAAGATGCTCGATATTGCAGAAGCGGTCATTAAACTTGATTTCCGGTTAAAATTATATGGGCTGAAGAATTGTTATAAGTTTTAATTACGACAATCACTCTATCTTATTAGTGTATTTGCAAATAAAACAAACAAAAATAGCATTTAAGCCATCTTAATTCTTATTTTGTTTTTCTTTTATGAAAAGAGGTGAACAAAATACTTACGTATAACTGGCGAGTGTGCGCTACCGCTTAGTGTTGTCGTCTGGTATTGACGTTCGAAATTCCCAGGATTGGAGAAGAAATCACGTAAACGAGGAATCTCCAGACCTGCTTCAACTAATTCCGTGTGCAGCTCAAGTGCAGTCAACAGTAACTGGTGCGTCAGGAGTTTTTCGGCGAATATGTCAAAATCGCTCGCGGATAAACGAGGCGGAGTTACTTCAGTTTCCTCCTCCGCATCCGCCATCTTGTCGAGAAGTTTCCTAGAAGCGTGGTTACTAAGAGACAATTTTGAGCCTGCAGAGCATACTAGACATCGGCTTCTCACTGGATAATTATGCGCAACGCAACGTAAACAAGAACTTTTTTATTTTCTAGGGCCGAAATGACGTGATAGCAATTTTGCAAAAGATTTTGCAAGAAACGCCTCGAATTCTGTAGTTATCGAGGTAGAAAAGAGCTCTTAAACTTTTGAGAAGCATAATCATGTTGGATCTCGAAGTCGTTCCGGAAAGATCCTTGGGAAATGAGCAGTGGGAGTTTATACTTGGTAATGTTAATGTTTGCAATGCAGTTTGTACATCATAAGCGCTTTCCCGCCTATCACGAAATTTATTGCCTTTTAGCCTATTCATCTTAGATTTAAATCTTACCTTCTGATGCTTTCGTATTCATTTTGATCACTTTAAGGAATGCCTGTCGCGCAATGTGTGCAAATCCTGAAGCGGCAATGTCGTGTGATCAAATCGGTACAAGCTATGTACAGTGAGGCGGTGAGTGTCTGGATTGTGTTTGACTGTGTAACGCATAAACTCTCTTTTCTTGCATATACTTGGTTTTAACGACGGTATAATTATTCTGGAACTTACATGTGGGATAATCTTTCGTCGTGGCTGGACAGAGTATCGACTTTTTGCCATGACACTTACTTTGATTGTCATTAATATGTACATGTCTGGACAGGATGAAACTTAATTGTTTTAAATATTTCGCTTCTTCTTCGTTGTGTAATAGAACCCTTTGGCAATGGATCTGGTCTTAAACCTGCCCAATGATGGAGTTAGACTGGTCTTTGATCCTGTTACACAGAGACTTAAGGTACAGACCAATCAATTATATACTCTTAAAAATAATAATAATTGCTTTCAATTGATGATATCCCACTGGAAAATTTAGCTTCTGAATTGTATTAATTTAATATATTTATTTATTTATTTATCTATAGATAATTGAAGTTTACAGTATGAACAAGGTCAAGTTGAAATACTGGTAAGATTTGGTTTGCTTGTTTGTTTACTCGTTGATAATTGTTGTTGTTGTTTACTAGTCAATAAGTGTTGTTGTTGTAAATATATCCTCAGGGGATTATTGTGTATTTCTTTCTGCTTTTTATCAAATTTCACAATATATCAAGTCAGGTTATGATGGATAATACTCTTAAAGGCTGAATTTTTTTTCTTTTTTTCATTTCAGTGGAGTGCACTTCAACTCTCCTCAAGTTCAGCCAACAATCGAACAAATTGACATGTCATTTGGAGCAACACATCCTGGAGGTTTGAAAATTTCTCCTATAACTTCTTTCTCATTTTAAAAGCAATCTAGTGAAAGTGAAGTAACAGCTTATGAGTAATTATTCAAAGGCAGTTAAATACAGCGTATGAGCTGTCATTGTTCATGCCCATATCTACTTAATTACAAACCAATTTTTGATTGATGGTAAGATCTGTTTACATCTCATTTGGTTAACTTTTTGATGCAAAAGAGTGACTTGCAGCTAATTTCTTTTTACAATATCACCCCTGAATCACATTAAGGTTGCAAGAATAAAGGAAATGATCTCTGACTAAAGAAGCTCGTGGTGGTTGAATAAATTCTCCCCATCAGCAACTTAGGAAATGTAGTAATAATACTACAGAGAGTATAAAAACTGATGTTAGGGTGTAAGGGTTTAAAAGGGAATTGTATTTTTTTTTCAGTCTATGATCCCTCCCATCAGCTGTTTATTCTGAACTTCAGAGGTCTCTCTTTCTCTTTTCCAATTGACTCAAAGTTTGAGGTAAGTATTTCAGTCTGTACTTAAAATAATTGGTTAAATACTGATTTTGTGCATTATATTTACGAATTAGCTGTATGTTTGCGAATGTTCTAACAGAAAACAGAATTTTGATCCTGACCTGTAGGATCAAAATGTCTTTTAACCCTTTAACTCCCAAAAGTAATAAACATGTAACCTCTCTTTTATAAAAGTGATAAACATGTAACCTCTCCTTTATAAAAGTGATTAACATGCAACCTTTTCCTATAGTATCCATACATAATTAAATTTCATCCCCAAATATTGCATTTCTTGTGTTCTGATTGGCTCACTCAACTGTGGTTATCAGCTCATATTCTAAGTCACCTTTTATGGCATTGCAACATGTTGGAAGCTGAAAATTTTTGCTGGAAATATTAAAAAATTCAGGAATTAAAGAAATTTGATGTCACAATTACTCCATTTGCACTTG